GGTCTGCAGTGCTGCTTCAGTCAAACACCTTTTGTGTTTTATTAGGAGACGCACAACAGTTCTTCTGTGGCTTTATAGGTAATATTTTCACTTACACAATTTAGCTAAATCAGACAATATTGTGTCTAATATATACCACAATATTAACTTCTTATTATTGAATTGTTGTAAATAAATATCACACTTGGAACTGGTCAGTGCTCAAAAAATGATGGGAAATCACTTCATGTAGCCCTACAAGAGTGATTACTGATAAACTGTCTGAAAAAAAAGACACCCACTGACTTTCAAAGCTGCTACATAGTAACAACTTTCTACTTCGAGGATCTTGATAGAAATGTAGTGGAGTGAAAAGTACAATATTTGTCTTTCAGATGTAGTGAAGTTAAAGTCATAAGTTTCCAGAAAAAATAATACTCAAGTAAAGTGCAGATACTCAAAAAGTGTACTTAAGTACAATACTCAAGTAAATGTACTTAGTTACTTTCCGCCTCTGCCTGAGGGTAAGTAAATGTTCAGTGAATTTCATTTTTGGGTGAAATATTCCTTCAGTTGAAAATCACCTTTCTTTTGCTGTCATGAAACATTGTAACATTGTATAATTTTTTCATGCTACTTTATTGTGGTTTTATTTGTCTGTAATTATAACACTTTTGGCTATTCATAGTGTCTTGTTTCTGGTTTAACCAATTCTGAATTTCAATCTTTTAGCTTTGCTCTTGAGAGCCCTTGTTACGTGTAAAATAGATTTTTTTTTTTTTTTGTGATTTTTCTTTCCTATGGGTATTTTATTTCTAGACAGTAACAAAACCCTTAAACACACTCTTACCAATGAACTAAAACTGTCAACACTAATTAATTCATTAACTTCACAAATTTTATAAATATAACAACAGAAACTTACATGATTTATAACTCAAATGTTCCTTTATAAGCATGATTTCAACTGTAACACACCCCAAAAGTAAGACACAATGAAACATTTTGATTCTACTTTCGCATAAAATGGTAAATATAGCAACAAAAGTGACCACTAATTTCGTCAACACTAGATGCTGTGTACTACAAAAATCCAGGGGTCAGCTGCATAAACTTAGCTTTTATGTTAAGACTGTGTCCTAAGAACTAGTTTGACCAACTAGCATAAATCAAGCGTAGCGTTAGTTCTGTCAGGTCACGTTAGTCAAGCTCGCATCAGCTGACTCTCAGCTGATCCCCATCAACCTATGGGAATACGACACTTATCTAAGCATTCATATATAAGGTCCCTCAGTATTATCAGCAGTTTTCGCATTGCTCAATAGCTAATTACCCTCCTCCATCCCCAACTCCTCCTCTGTCAGTCGGGATTCAGCTTTCTTTATTCTCCTTGAATCAGACTAATTCTAAAATGTGTACATAAAATTATTGAACTTTAACAATATCTGCAATACATTTATGTTGGTTCTGTTCTGTTTACCTTTGGGGGTTATCGCTGCTCTCCCTGCTCTCATCCATGCTAGGCTGCATGGATGCGCAGGGAGTTCTTGCCCAGAACAGAACCATACCGCCAATCCAAACTGTATGCTAATTGTCAATCATCTTTGACGATAGTGGTCCTGACAGAACCAAGGGTTGATCAAATTTTCTGATTCAACTTAGACTTATTTACATTTTTATGTAACTAACTTAAAAAAGTTATTACCAGTATTAAAGAAAAAAAAAATGAAACGAATAACTTGTAAGACATTTTATGCAACCAGCCCCAGATCCTTCATTTACATTTTACATTACAAATTTGAGGTAATGGGATTTAATAACTTTGCAAAACAATGTTCTGTCAAACAAATGAAATGATAACATTTGCCTCACATGCTGATGGGGTCTTTCTCTGCTAACTACAGGTGCATCTCAATAAATTAGAATGTCGTGGAAAAGTTCATTTATTTCAGTAATTCAACTCAAATTGTGAAACTCGTGTATTAAATAAATTCAATGCACACAGACTGAAGTAGTTTAAGTCTTTGGTTCTTTTAATTGTGATGATTTTGGCTCACATTTAACAAAAACCCACCAATTCACTATCTCAACAAATTAGAATATGGTGACATGCAATCAGCTAATCAACTCAAAACACCTGCAAAGGTTTCCCGAGCCTTCAAAATGGTCTCTCAGTTTGGTTCACTAGGCTACACAATCATGGGGAAGACTGCTGATCTGACAGTTGTCCAGAAGACAATAATTGACACCCTTCACAAGAAGGGTAAGCCACAAACGTTCATTGCCAAAGAAGCTGGCTGTTCACAGAGTGCTGTATCCAAGCATGTTAACAGAAAGTTGAGTGGAAGGAAAAAGTGTGGAAGAAAAAGATGCACAACCAACCGAGAGAACCGCAGCCTTATGAGGATTGTCAAGCAAAATCGATTCAAGAATTTGAGTGAACTTCACAAGGAATGGACTGAGGCTGGGGTCAAGGCATCAAGAGCCACCACACACAGACGTGTCAAGGAATTTGGCTACAGTTGTCGTATTCCTCTTGTTAAGCCACCAACAATTCACTAAAAATGTTTTTTTTTTTATTGGTCTTATGAAGTATTCTAATTTGTTGAGATAGTGAATTGGTGGGTTTTTGTTAAATGTGAGCCAAAATCATCACAATTAAAAGAACCAAAGACTTAAACTACTTCAGTCTATGTGCATTGAATTTATTTAATACATGAGTTTCACAATTTGAGTTGAATTACTGAAATAAATGAACTTTTCCACGACATTCTAATTTATTGAGATGCACCTGTATTTGTATGCTTTCTCTACTGTCTGTCTACTGATCTTCTGGATCAGATTTCTTTCAGGTGAAGTCAGATTCTTCATTTGTGACTAGGCCTATGCAATTAGGCGATTAGGCCTATACTCCTGAAGATATAGTTGATTCATTCTACTAATAACACATTTGTGTTTATTCTATTTCAAATAGGCCTACTACGTTTGTTTTGAATATCAAACTCGTTCCAGATGTAGTATGTAGGTTTTAGGCAGTGTGAATGTGATTGCATAACGCGATTGTGCGCTCATCTCTCGTTGGCTGCTCGTGCGCTTCTCAAAGTGGAGGGAGGGGGATCCAGCTCGCGCTTACATACACACAACTACTGTGTAACAGCCACGTAATATTCCTCCGCGGGGGTTTACGGGAATAAAAAAATATTATAATCGACGGAGTTTTTAAAAATCAGGTAAGTCCCGTTTTCTTTCTATGAAAAATGCTCTGTCGTTAGTTTTCTTCTTCAAATCAACAATGTAATGGCGCGACGTGCCAAGTACGCATCAGCGCACTGGATTAGTGTTTGTTTACTAAGCTTCTTGCTCCTGCTCCAGTTCACCAGGTCCACTCTTTATGAGGAATAAATCATGCATATTTATTTAAATACTTCACTTTTGCCCAAGTCTGGCCATTTGTATGTCGAGAATCATTTACAAATAAAAGCTGTTTTAACAAAACAGTATTTGCTGCAGAATTGCAGAACAGAGCACATCCAGAATGTTTAGTTAAGTTCATTATTAATGACACGTGCGCTGTGTTATGCAACTGCAAGCTTTTGGGGGCTGCATGCTTTATTAGCGTTTTACTTGACGAATCCTGCCCGGTCCAGCTGAAGTGTGAGCTTTAAATCGCTCGACAGGCCAACATTCGTCAAACATAGATGTTTAAACACAAAAGATCGGGTTTGCACATTTGCGCGCGCACTGCACAGTTTTTACTCGAAACCCTCTCGAAACACGCATTCAGGAACGTAGACAAAGAGTTCCGAGCGAATATGTTCGTATAGATGTTTTTAAATGGTTTCCCGATAAATGTCGCTAGTTGAGATGGAGGAACGCGTGTATGAAGTATTGAATTAGTTTGTTTTGGATGGTTGTTTTGGTTCGTGGGACTTTAAATGCAGGGATTCCTCCTGCAGCTTGGCGGGACACACACACCCACTCTGCTTTAGCACGTTTAAAGTACACAGTGTTCAGAGCTTTTGTTAGGGGCCCCTTCACTGGTGACTCTGAAAACTTCAGATACTTTTGCTTGCTTTATGTTTTAGATAAAGCATTGTCTTTGCACGAAATTCCTCTGGAATTCAAGTTTTTTTTCTTTTCTTTGTGTGTCCTTTGATTTCTTCCTTCATTAAGCTTTTTAAAAATAGTATGTCTATATATATTGCAGTTGGTGGTATTGTTTAGGTGACTTCTCCCAAGTGTTATTGCAAAGTTTAGTTATTCGGCATAAATTAATTCATTTATATAAATATTTTGTCATTGATTTATTCATTCATTTATTAATAATTCATTTAAAAAGTTTTTATGCACACTACAGATAAACATTATACCAAAGCTTTATCCCAAACTTTAGTGATGCTAAAATTGTTTCTGAATGTGTTTATTTAAAGAATGTTTATTGGTTGCTAAAGTATTTATTTATTTGTTAGTTAATTTGACCCTGGACCAGTGTTGCCATGTCTGTGGTTTTCCCGTGGAATTGGGCTACTTTATCACTGTTGCCGCGAGCAACATGTCCGTGGGTTGAAGCAACCCCAATAATGTGATATTTAGCCCCTAAAATGTGAATTTTACCAGGGGAACCCCGCCAAAAAAAATGTATATTTTACCCCCTGAACTGATTTTTACCGGGGGACCCCCCTCGAAATGCAATTGGCCTATTTTTGTGCTAGTTTTGAGTAGCAATTGGGTGGGTCTTGTTGTGAAAACTGGGCAACCCTGCACTGGACCACAAATCCAGTCATAAAATCAGTTTTTTTAAATTGAGATTTATACATAATCTGAAAGATTAAAAATAAGCTTTCCATTGATGTATGGTTTGTTAGGATAGGACAATATTTGGCCGAGATACAACTATTTTGGCTATTCCTACAAATATACCTGTGTGACTTAAGACTGGATTTGTGGTCCAGGGTCACATATTTTAGTGCATGCTGCAGATAAATGTTAAGACAAGTCCATTAGCACATGCACTGATGTAGAATTTCTGCATGACTTGTTTTCATATTGGCCTACAATGTCACATGTAAATGCCATGTGCAAAGCACCTCCTATTTTACATGAATGTGGGCAATGTTGTATTAAATTTGTTCTTTAAAATACATTTCATAAAAGTTTGCTGCTCTTCTATAGAGAATAAAGTAATGTAATACGTTTTTGGAATTTGGAGAGCAACTTTTGAATCTGGTAAATTTGATACCTTTGAATTAATTGATTGTATGAATCCACATGACTGGCTTGCTAAAGACAGAGTTCATTTGAAGTTGACATAGACTTGCCATCAGTGTCATTAATCAAGCACATCATGATATAAGTACGTTGAGAAGCTAGGTAGCTACTGTTATGTTTGATATCTTCCAGTTAACCAGATTGCACGCTGGTTGTGCAGTTGTAGTTCACAACGAGCATGTTTCTGCAAAGAGCCAATATTCATATCCAGTTGCCCTGCAGGTGTGTACGTGAGTGAGGTGTTCATCTGGTTCTCAGCAAACCCAAACACACAGACACGCACAAAGCTTGCTTTTCTGCCTCACTGGTAATGTTGCCTGACAGAAGGGCCATTGACTAATTCATAAGGCAGCCCTTAACTGTTTTTCCTATCAAATATATTCACTGTAGAGGCACAAACATGAACAAACCCACTTTGTTATGAGGCTTACTAACAAACACATTCTTGTATTGACTGGTTCAGACACAAGCTAACATTCAGTCTGTGCTCTAAAGGCATAATTCAGTACATATCATTCTTGTAGCTCCTTGAGTGTAGGCTTTGTATTGAATGTTTTACATTTACTGTCATTTCTCAGCGGGATTTGCACTTTCAAAGGTGGTATGTAGAGACCGTGAAGAGACAGACGATACATACAACAAGTATGTAATTACACATGTGATCTTTAAGGCAACTATATGAGCATTAAACAAATGTGCCAAACCAGGAAAGTGGCCCACAACACAGACAGCTTTGTTTGTTTTGTGTGTATGTTACATACATTGCTCCTCCTACTTCTATGTTCTTCAACTCCAGGACTCTCTCTATATTTCTGCAGAGCTACTTGGTATGAAATGTGAGAACTACTAACGTTTATGTGGTTGAGTTGAGCTGGAGGTGTGGCACACCAGAATACCTTAAACTATCCATGATATGTTTTTCAATAATCTTCTAGAGCGGCTGTCAGTTCTATCACTCAAGGGCAATTCTAAGCCTTATGTCGCAAGCAGCATTTACCACATTCTAAAACGCCACAGTTAAAGCGGTAGATACATTTAAACAGATATTAAGCACCTTGCTTTGTACTAGTTAGAGGCCAATGTGCCATTTGTGATAAGGAGATCTACAGTGAACAAAGGATTTCAGAACTTTTTTGGTTTGTGACTCCATATTGAATCTATCTTTAAAATCATGTTTTTCTAAGTTGAAAAGGTCTGTTTGGTTATTTAAAAAAAAATTTAATGCATTTTTTGCCATTCAAACAAATTTATGTTTCACCATGCTCATCAGGAATGCTACAACTACATAATCTGTCACACTCACCATACAAAGTAATACATTGCTTATTGTAGTTCCCTATCGAATGGGAACTCGCACTGCGTCCCCTAGAGGACACTTTGGGGAACGCCCTCAGCGTGACCGGTGTCTGAAGTGCATGTGGAAACACGACAATGAACTTGTCATTGGCCCATGACGTGTTACTGGTGCGACCAAGAGTATAAAAGGGCACCTGTAGCACACGTCATCAGCTTCTTGTCTTCAGCCGTTTTGTTTGTGTGTGCGTGTGTGACAGAATGTTGAAAAAAAAATATATATATGTCTGAGCGCAGTTTTAAAAGATGTGTCCCACCGTGTGAAAGGTACATCACACCTAGTGATTCTCATGAGCTTTGTGTGGTGTGTCTGGGGGCACAGCATGCACGGTCGGCTCTCGAGGGAGCCGGCTGTGCCCACTGTGATCGTTTCACAGTGAAACAGCTGCGCTCCCGCTTAGCTCTGTTTACAGAGGACGGAAGCCAAGCATCTGCGCCTCGTGGTGCTGGACCCGCTGCTGCCAAGGCAGAGCGCCGTCTGCACTCATGGGGCTCGCAGTTAGATCTGGCTGACGAGCTTGGGACGGGTCTCTCCCTATCCCAATCCTCGGTCACCAGCTTTGTTGCTCTCGAACCGGATCTGGAAGCCCGGTCTCCGGTTTCTTCTGATCCGGAACCTGTCGGGGCTAAAGGAGAAGGACAGGTCTTTTCTCCTTGATTCCCTGGTTTCGCCTGCCGGGCTTTTCGGAGCTGCTGTTGAGACAGTAGTCTGTAAGTTCAGGGAGGCGAAGGTTAAGTCAGCGACGTTTGAGCACTACATCCCTCGTAGGCGGCGTCCTTTCGATCAACCACCTGAAGCTGAGCCTGCCGCCGGGCCCAGCTGGCGGCAGAGTCAGAAGGCGAGCGTAGCTGCGAGAGCCCCGCCTCCGAGGAGTCGGGGCGCTGGGCAGCGACCCCGAGCCTTCCATTCCTCCCTGAGCTTCACAGCGAGCTGTTGAGGTCAAGGAGGAATCCTTTCTCTGCCCGCGTCTTTACCCCTAACAAGTCAAACTACGCTAATGTGAAGGGGCTGGAAGACAGCGGGTACACAAAGATGCCTCAGATGGAGGAATCCCTTGCGGGTTATCTCGCGGCTCCCCAGGCATCTTCGTGGAGGGCTCCTACCTTGCCTTCGAAGCCGTGCCAGTTTACATCTAGGCTCGTGGGCAAGGCATACGCGGCGGCTGGGCAGGCGAGAGGTACCCTGCATACTATCTCTGGACTCCTTCAGACAAGAAGCTGATGACGTGTGCTACAGGTGCCCTTTTATACTCCTGGTCGCACCAGTAACACGTCATGGGCCAATGACAAGTTCATTGTCGTGTTTCCACATGCACTTCAGACACCGGTCACGCTGAGGGCGTTCCCCAAAGTGTCCTCTAGGGGACGCAGTGTCTCGTTCCCCTTCTCAGGGAACCATGGTTACATGGGTAACCTGAGACGATTTGTTTCAAGACCGAGTTCTGTTCTGTTGAGAATTTGGAAAATTGTCTCTTACAAACTTTTTTTTCTTTCGAGGTCTCATGGTTTCCACAAAAAAACATTAAGCAGCACAACTGTTTTTAACACTAATAATAATAAGAAATGTTTCTTGGCCACCAAATCAGCATATTAGTATGATTTCTGAATTTATGTGACACAGAAGACTGGAGTAATGGCTGCTGAAAATTCAGCTTTACCATCACAGGAAAAAAAAAAAAGCACTTTAAAATATATTCAAATAGAAAATTCAATTGAAATTAAATTTGATTTGAATTGAATTTTAATCGAAAATTAAATGAAAATAAAGTTTTACTGCATTTTGATTAAATGCAGCCTTGGTAACCATGGTTTATCTACCAGTAACTGTTGGTCCAAAAGCTATGAAACATGGGTTATAAGCAGTCATTATCATTTGGGACTTCCATACAGTAAATGTACATGCATTTTTAGATATTATATGAGGGGTATTTTTTTAAACAAATGTTTTCTTCCATAGGATGGCATTTCCTGTAGATAATCTGACAAATGTGGATCATGAGACCTTAGAGCTGACAGCTGAGGAATACATGTCTCAGCTCCCCTACAGAAATACAGAGTACTTCAGCCTCTCTGATTTCAAACAGGTAAGGTGAACAAGTATATTGTCTGCAAATCTTCACTCCAAAATGTATATGTATATATATATAATTTTCTGGGAAAAGTTAAAAATTGTTCCCTTTAAATAAGTAAATACTTTTATTATTCAAAATAAAGGATTAAGGACAAATTATGTTTTCGGAATACTGACTTTGTGTGTTTTCCCAAAGAATCCTATTTTTTTAACAAGGTGTCAAATGCATTTGCACAATGTGACTTTAAAACATTTTCACATTTTCAATGATGTTCCCTCGGTGACAGATAGAAGTTGGACTCTGCAATGTGAGTTTTGTCCCTCTATATGGAACAGATACTGAAAAAAAGCTCCTTGCGTTGTTCTCACCTGATGACTCGAACACAAGTAATATAGTCAAACGTGATGAAAACCAGAACAATTTTTTAACATGTTGTGATGCTAACACTGTATATTTTAACAGATTTATTACAATAATCTGCAGTTGTAGGTCTATATTTGCTGGATCGGTGGTGGGGGGTTGAAGATGTTCTTAAAACAGCAGAGCCCTCAAGAACAGGCCTGATCAAGGTCAGTGTTTTCTAATTTTATGCAAGGCCAGTAATGCTTCAATCAATGACCTAATGTGTCATCATTAGCAAATTGGTTTCTTTTGCAAATATGTATAAGTAAATGTTAATAACTAGTGCCATATTTTTCCCAGGTCAGCACACTTGGGGAAAGGATAGTCCTATATGTTCTCAACAGAATTGTGTTGAGAAATGAGAAGAGCGGTGAAGATGTTTTCTTTCTCTGTCATTGTGAGCGTGAAGCTGCAAAAATACTATGGAAGGATGGAGAGGCCATTGGCTTTTACTCATTCAAACCCAAAGGCAATGACAGTTCCTTCAAAGCCTCATGTACAATTTCATACCTTACTTGTTGGTTACTTCATATTTCTCTTCACTTACAGGAAGCTTATGCAGAAACTTTGTGACCCAATGCTATCAACTTCCTGTAATGGACACAATATTTGTCAGGAAGTGTCACCGGGGCCAGGGGCATGCCATAAAGATACTGGAAGACTTTGTTGGTAGCTTCAGAAATGAGTACATAGGGTTAAAATTTCCACTTTCAGAAGCTATTTCTAAAGGTATAGAAGCAGACCTACAGTCCGGTCAAATGTCACATTTTCTCATATAACAGATATTATTCTTGGTTTCTATGCTTGGCATCTACCTCTTTCTTTACAGTTTGTGAAAAGTACTTCAGTAGATATCCAGCAGACAAGGAGCTTCTGTGGGAAGTAGAGAAAATAGGAAGCCCTTTCCAGAGAACTCTAATAGTCAACAGGCTACAGAAGTTGAACCTAAAGGGTAAGAAAAATATCTGTATTTTTAGCTTCTGTGATATGGAAATATTGATATTTGTAATTATTTGTGATGATGAATTTAATGAATTAATTGGCATTTCATGTAATTAATTGAAAGGGATTTATAGTCCTAATAATGTGATACGTCTTTAACAGAGAAGGACCAGGTTGTGAGCAAACTGAATTTTGACGAAGGTGATGCCACTGCTCCAATGGAAATTGAGATCACAAAGATTCAGGAAACCACTGAATATACAGTGGAGATTGTGGTACTCTAATTTCTGTTACTTTTGTGTTAATTAACTTTGTTTTGACAGAAAATGTATTCAGTTAACTTTCCTATTTGATTTCAAATTGATTTGGGAAGTTCAGACCATTTCAAATACAATACGATTTATAAAGATTTGATTTATAGGATTTTTAAAATATTTTTCCTAATGTATCATAGGCGAGGAAAAGAAGAAAAGCTTCAGATTGTTTATTGTACCAAAAGTGTCTTGAAAGGAAACCCATTACTAACATGAGCATATAGGTTACTTGGAATACAACAGAGAATGTAAAACTAACAAACAGTGTTTGTGAGTGACCAGAGATGCATATTACTTAGAAAAAATTTAATCAGTAACTTTAATCCAAATATCACAACATGAAAGTATCATCTCGCTACAATTTACATTTAGATTATCTCAAGACTACATGTGTAAGTACAAGAGAAAACAAATATCTATAATTAAACTTCAAATGATTTCTGCATGCAGTTGTGCCCACATAATTAGTTGGCAACTAATTCAATTTTTAGCATTTTGATTATTATATACAGTAAATGTGAAGATCGATGCATGTGATTGCATCAAGGCAATGGCTGAATGGTTAAACTCATATTAACTGACTGCTAGTTTGGATAACAAAATTACTGTATATACAGTAATATTACAAAGTGAATCTTATATCTAACATTGATATCAACTTTCAAATTTTAGGAGGAGACCATCATAGACATCACCAAAGGCAAGTATAAATTGTTGGTTGAACAATAATTTGCTCAAAAAAGTCTCTTCAGCTGAATCTAGCTGATGTTTGTCACTGTTACAGAAGTAGATGACATACCTGTCACAAGGCGTGGCAGAGGTAGCAACCTGAAACGAAGAGCTATCAGAGAAAATTCAGAGGAGAGGCTTTCAGAGAACATAATCAGGTAACACATTATTTGTCAGCAGAATACATAACAGTATTGATTACTACACTATGTATATAAATAACTATGTCTCACAAAGGGTGGAAGACATTGAGGCAGTAGTTGAAAGTTCAGTCGAGGTGGCAGCCGTGGAAAATCTTAACACTTTTTCTGTAAAAGAATCAGAAACAGTACTCAGGGTATGTATTCAACTGAATAAACATCATGTTTGCTTCAGTAATAACAGCTTGAACATAATAATAATGTTCAAGCTGTTATTACAGAAGCAAACATGACTTTGTTTTCTTAAAATGGCCTTTTGTAATTTTCACACTTTCAGTTCATTAATTAACATCTCTCTTCTCTAATTTGGCAGAGCTCAGTAGACACTGTAACTGCAACTGTGACCAACTTTGCAGAGTTTAGAGGATCACAAAAAGAGGAGACACGTGAAATTGAAAACGACATTGTCACAGCTACATCAGAGGGGAGTCCAGTCACCCACCTCACCACAGCTGAGGAAATAAAGAACCAAAGAGGTAGTAAAGAGGAATGTGAAATGGTTATTAAGGAGTACACTATAGATATACAAGGAGACACTATAGGGTCTATTGACCAAAGCCAACTTCAGTCTGTGGTGTACGTAGAAATTGTTAAGATGAGTACAGGAACTGAAGAGGAAAAAAATGAAAATTTAGGAAAGAACAAAGAGGTTGAGGAAGATGAACCTGTGTGTGAGGCAGAGATGGAGGAAATAAAACAAATGCCAGATGAACCGAAAGAGGAAAAAACTGTGAGTGAGGTGGCCGAGCAATCAGAGACTCGTGCTAAATCAACAGAAAAAGTACAAACACACTGGGATATGGAAATAACAGAGAATAAAGAAAGAGCAGAAGATGAGGTTATGGCAGAAAGTGAAAAGGACCTAATTGAGGAAAACAGAGATGACAACACAGGCCAAGAGAAAAGTGAACCAAAGGATGAAGACACAGTTCTGCAACAGTCTGTGGAAGTTAAAGACCAGATAGAGATGGAGGCAGATTCTGTGAGAGAGGTCCTTACTACTGAAGAGGTCTTATGTGACCAGCCCAAACAAAATGAGGCTGAAACAGAAGTCCCCGAACCAAACCAAACAATGACAAACAAGGATACACTAATTGAAAAAGCAAGTAAACATACATTAGGCCCTGATGAGGCAGAACAGGTCTTCAACAAGAGAACATCAGGTTTAACTCCTTCAAGGAAGTCCAAAAGACTCATGCATCAGCCTGCTGAAAAAGATCTTGCAACTACAAAGTCTGTGAAAACAGGCCAACAGAGATCCAAACATCACAGCAAAGTAATGATGCAAGATGAAGATATTGAACAATCAACAGATGAACCTGTACATGATGTTTCTGAGGTTATGGAGAAGATACAAGAAGCTCAAACTGAAAATAAGGCAGAGGCAGAGTCTGAGGTTGAGGAATACAAAGAAAAAGACATGCTTACAGTGGAAACTGTATCTACTATGGACGTTGAAATTACACAGGTTGAGGAAACTGTATTTCCTGAAGTTTCTGAATTAGTGGAAAGAAAAGAAACAGATCAAGAAGAAGCACCACTACAGTCGTCTGTAGAGCCTCCTGAGATACAGGAATCAAAAACAACACCTGAAGAGGATGAGGAGACAGTGGAGAATAGCACTGTGATGTTGACATTGAGTGAAGCCAAAGATGTGCTTGTAGATCTGCATGAATGTTCTCCTAAGGAGGCAGGTGATAATCATGGAGAGATCGGTATTCCTGGACAAGAGGAAATGAAACTCACCATGTCATCTGAGCTACAAGCAACTGAAGAAAATATGAGAAAAGAAGAACAAGATGGTACATTAGACACCAAACCCATGGAAGAACCAGCCTGTACTACTACAACAGAAGGATATGTTGTAGCAGCTGATGCCAACAGAACTCCAGAACAATCAGCTGCATACAAAGATCAAGAGTATGAGCCAGAATCAGAAACCACAGAGGCTGTTCTTCTAAGCCAAGTTGAGGTACCAGAGAAAACAGACACTGAACAAGATAAAGAGGATAAGCAAAATTTGTATGAGGCAGACAAGTTTCCCAAACAAGGCAAACAAACTCAAAAGAAAGGCTCTATCGACGTCCCAAGTAGATCCACAAGACTTAAAGAGCAGCCTGTTGACACTGGGGTGACAGTTAGATGTCTTAGGAGCACTTTGAAACCAGTCAAGATCACCCCTGTTAGGAGATCTACACGTAGCAAAGCATTGATTGAACAGGTGGAGAGTGTTGAGCCTCAAGTTTATGCAAAACTCAGGACTGATGAAAACCCTGAGAGGGATGAACTTATTGTGGAGGATGTAAGTCCAAAGGAGAATGAAATGGCAAACACAAATGCTGATGAAACTGCAAGTGTTGAATGTGGAAGTTCTGAATTCCTTAGAGCTGCAGAAATAGATGATAAAGAGAAAGAACTTCAGATTACAAAGGTTACTGAGGAAATCCCACTTATAGAAACAGAAGCTAAGGAGGATGTATTAGAAAACAGAGTTGAAGACATCAAAAATATTGAGAACAAGGAAGCAAATTTAGCTGGACAATTGTACAGTGACATAGAGATGAGCAGTCTTGCTCAGGAGGTACATGTCCAGGAAGAAGAGGTGCCAATCAGCACAGAAAGACATCTCAGACGTAGAACAATAAGAGTTCAGACTCCACTGACAAGGAAATCTAGATGTGTACAGAAACAAAAAGCTGAAGCAGATGTTGAACATCAGGAAAGACACAGAGTGGTGAGCAAGAATAAAACTGATACAATCTTGATGACAAAAGAGAGAGAGGATGAAATGGGTCAAGATGTCAACAAGATGGAGAACAAAGAAGAACATTTCGCTGAGTTGGAGCCAGTGGAAGAACCAAACATGAGTAGAAATGGATATGAAAAAACATCAGCGATAACAGAAGAGACTGTGGATGGCTGTATACCAATTATTACAACTGAGGCCAGTTTGGAAAGTCTTGATGAAATAGTAAACACAAATACTGAGGAAACTGCAGTCCCAGAGAGTTCCGGACTACCTTTGGGTGTAGAAATAGATGATCAGGAGAAAAAAATTCAGATTGTTGATGGTCCTGAAGAAAAGGTTTCACTTGTAGAACCTGGTAAGGAGGTAGAGAATGACGATGGTACTCCAGCAATAAAATTACAAAAAGCCACAGTAGTACTTGTGGATTTGAGCAAACGTTCCCAAAATACAGAAGCAGAGGGTGAGGCTTCAGAAGACCTGACACATTTCCAAACGGAGGAAAAACTGGAACTGTATGAACCAGATACAAGTGAACAAGAACTGTCTAATCTGGCATTAGAAGAGGAGGAACAACAAGAAGAAGTACAAACACAGGAAGACACTGAAAAGACCCCTGAGGAAGAGAAAATGGAGGAAGAAAACACAGTTGAAGAGCAGAACAAACTCGATAAACAAGACATGACATTTGAAGAGCAAAAGCCAACTGAAGATTTGGCCACAATGCCAGCTGAGGGCAGCCTGGTGGAAAGCAATAAAATTGAAAATAAACAGAATGAGGATGAAGGGGTGAGCGGTCTTGCCCAGGAGAATGCTGTTCAAGAAAACTTAGAAGAGGAGGCACCAGTCAGCACACAGCGAAGTCTTAGACGAAGAACAAAAAGAGTTCAGTCTCCACCAAGAAGAAAATCTAGACGTATACAAAAACAAGGGGCTGACGTTTCTGAAGATAAAACTGAAATAGTCCTAATAACAGAAAAGGAAGCTGATGAGGTGGACCAAGGTGTAGAAATAGTTGATAAAGAGAAAGCGCCTCAAACATCAATTGTAGATGCTACTGAGAAGGTGATCCCACTCGTAGAAGCAGAACCTGAAGATAATGTCGTAGAACAAGGAGTTGAAGAAATCAACAAGTTGGAGAACAAGGAAGCAAATTTAGCTGTGACAAGAGACACAGGTGAGGAGACATCTGAGGTGGGAGAAGAAGCCACTTTAGAGCAACAGCAAAATGAGCCATTGGTTAAAAATGATAAAGAAACAGCTGAGACAGAAAAATCCATGGAGTTTGCCCCAGTGGTTGGCAAAGAGCAAACATACATTGTAGGGGGGACCACCATCCAAATAGAGAAGGAGGTCTCACGGGTCTCACTTGTAGAAGCAGAACCTGATGAGGAGGTAGAAAAAGATAATGGTACTCCAGTAATACAACTGCAGAAAGCCACAGTAGTACTTGTAGATTTAAACAAACTTTCCCAAAATACAGAAGGAGAGAGTGACACTCCAGAAGTCCTGACACATTCCCAGACAGAGGAAAAACTGGAACAGGATAAACCACATAATAGTGAATATCAACTATGTAATCTGACATCAGAAGAGGAAGAACAGCTAGAACAACTACAAAAAGAGGAAGATACTGAAAAGACCCCTGAGAAAGACAAAATGGAGGATGATAACACAGTTGAAGAACAGAATGAACCCAATAAACAAGACATGACATTTGAGGAGCAAAAACCAACAGAAGATTTGGAAGAACAAAATGACTTAAAAGTGACAGAGATCATAGAAGTTTATAGGGCTGTAGATGAGGATGTAGAAGAAGCAGTAAATTCTGGAGAGCATCCTGAAAAAACAACAACAATGGCAGATGAAACAAATATAATTCATGAGGCAGAAAAAGATCACAATATTACTTTAAAAGAAAAGCCAACAGACAGTGACATAGAAATGAGTGTTCTTGCTCAGGAGGCACCAGAAACTGACCAGGAAGTCTTAGAAGAGGAGGCATCAGTCAGCACAGAGAGAAGTCTCAGGCGTAGAACAATAAAAATTCAGTCTCCACCTAGAAGAAAATCGAGACGTATACAAAAACAAGGGGCTGACGTTTCTGAAGATAAAACTGAAATAGTCCTAATAACAGAAAAGGAAGCTGATGAGGTGGACCAAGGTGTAGAAATAGTTGATAAAGAGAAAGCGCCTCAAACATCAATTGTAGATGCTACTGAGAAGGTGATCCCACTCGTAGAAGCAGAACCTGAAGATAATGTTGTAGAACAAGGAGTCGAAGAAATCAACAAGTTGGAGAACAAGGAAGCAAATTTAGTTGTGACAAGAGACACAGGTGAGGAGACATCTGAGGTGGGAGAAGAAGCCACTTTAGAGCAACAGCAAAATGAGCCATTGGTTAAAAATGATAAAGAAACAGCTGAGACAGAAAAATCCATGGAGTTTGCCCCAGTGGTTGGCAAAGAGCAAACATACATTGTAGGGGGGACCACCATCCAAATAGAGAAGGAGGTCTCACGGGTCTCACTTGTAGAAGCAGAACCTGATGAGGAGGTAAAAAAAAATGATGGTACTCCAGTAATACAACTGCAGAAAGCCACAGTAGTACTTGTAGATTTAAACAAACTTTCCCAAAATACAGAAGGAGAGAGTGACACTCCAGAAGTCCTGACACATTCCCAGACAGAGGAAAAACTGGAACAGGATAAACCACATAATAGTGAATATCAACTATGTAATCTGACATCAGAAGAGGAAGAACAGCTAGAACAACTACAAAAAGAGGAAGATACTGAAAAGACCCCTGAGAAAGACAAAATGGAGGATGATAACACAGTTGAAGAACAGAATGAACCCAATAAACAAGACATGACATTTGAGGAGCAAAAACCAACAGAAGATTTGGAAGAACAAAATGACTTAAAAGTGACAGAGATCATAGAAGTTTATAGGGCTGTAGATGAGGATGTAGAAGAAGCAGTAAATTCTGGAGAGCATCCTGAAAAAACAACAACAATGGCAGATGAAACAAATATAATTCATGAGGCAGAAAAAGATCACAATATTACTTTAAAAGAAAAGCCAACAGACAGTGACATAGAAATGAGTGTTCTTGCTCAGGAGGCACCAGAAACTGACCAGGAAGTCTTAGAAGAGGAGGCATCAGTCAGCACAGAGAGAAGTCTCAGGCGTAGAACAATAAAAATTCAGTCTCCACCTAGAAGAAAATCGAGACGTATACAAAAACAAGGGGCTGACGTTTCTGAAGATAAAACTGAAATAGTCCTAATAACAGAAAAGGAAGCTGATGAGGTGGACCAAGGTGTAGAAATAGTTGATAAAGAGAAAGCGTCTCAAACATCAATTGTAGATGCTACTGAGAAGGTGATCCCACTCGTAGAAGCAGAACCTGAAGATAATGTCGTAGAACAAGGAGTTGAAGAAATCAACAAGTTGGAGAACAAGGAAGCAAATTTAGTTGTGACAAGAGACACAGGTGAGGAGACATCTGAGGTGGGAGAAGAAGCCACTTTAGAGCAACAGCAAAATGAGCCATTGGTTAAAAATGATAAAGAAACAACTGAGACAGAAACATCCATGGAGTTTGCCCCAATTGTTGGCAAAGAGCAAACATACATTGTAGGGGGGACCACCATCCAAATAGAGAAGGAGGTCTCACGGGTCTCACTTGTAGAAGCAGAACCTGATGAGGAGGTAGAAAAAGATAATGGTACTCCAGTAATACAACTGCAGAAAGCCACAGTAGTACTTGTAGATTTAAACAAACTTTCCCAAAATACAGAAGGAGAGAGTGACACTCCAGAAGTCCTGACACATTCCCAGACAGAGGAAAAACTGGAACAGGATAAACCACATAATAGTGAATATCAACTATGTAATCTGACATCAGAAGAGGAAGAACAGCTAGAACAACTACAAAAAGAGGAAGATACTGAAAAGACCCCTGAGAAAGACAAAATGGAGGATGATAACACAGTTGAAGAACAGAATGAACCCAATAAACAAGACATGACATTTGAGGAGCAAAAACCAACAGAAGATTTGGAAGAACAAAATGACTTAAAAGTGACAGAGATCATAGAAGTTTATAGGGCTGTAGATGAGGATGTAGAAGAAGCAGTAAATTCTGGAGAGCATCCTGAAAAAACAACAACAATGGCAGATGAAACAAATATAATTCATGAGGCAGAAAAAGATCACAATATTACTTTAAAAGAAAAGCCAACAGACAGTGACATAGAAATGAGTGTTCTTGCTCAGGAGGCACCAGAAACTGACCAGGAAGTCTTAGAAGAGGAGGCATCAGTCAGCACAGAGAGAAGTCTCAGGCGTAGAACAATAAAAATTCAGTCTCCACCTAGAAGAAAATCGAGACGTATACAAAAACAAGGGGCTGACGTTTCTGAAGATAAAACTGAAATAGTCCTAATAACAGAAAAGGAAGCTGATGAGGTGGACCAAGGTGTAGAAATAGTTGATAAAGAGAAAGCGTCTCAAACATCAATTGTAGATGCTACTGAGAAGGTGATCCCACTCGTAGAAGCAGAACCTGAAGATAATGTCGTAGAACAAGGAGTTGAAGAAATCAACAAGTTGGAGAACAAGGAAGCAAATTTAGTTGTGACAAGAGACACAGGTGAGGAGACATCTGAGGTGGGAGAAGAAGCCACTTTAGAGCAACAGCAAAATGAGCCATTGGTTAAAAATGATAAAGAAACAACTGAGACAGAAACATCCATGGAGTTTGCCCCAATTGTTGGCAAAGAGCAAACATACATTGTAGGGGGGACCACCATCCAAATAGAGAAGGAGGTCTCACGGGTCTCACTTGTAGAAGCAGAACCTGATGAGGAGGTAGAAAAAGATAATGGTACTCCAGTAATACAACTGCAGAAAGCCACAGTAGTACTTGTAGATTTAAACAAACTTTCCCAAAATACAGAAGGAGAGAGTGACACTCCAGAAGTCCTGACACATTCCCAGACAGAGGAAAAACTGGAACAGGATAAACCACATAATAGTGAATATCAACTATGTAATCTGACATCAGAAGAGGAAGAACAGCTAGAACAACTACAAAAAGAGGAAGATACTGAAAAGACCCCTGAGAAAGACAAAATGGAGGATGATAACACAGTTGAAGAACAGAATGAACCCAATAAACAAGACATGACATTTGAGGAGCAAAAACCAACAGAAGATTTGGAAGAACAAAATGACTTAAAAGTGACAGAGATCATAGAAGTTTATAGGGCTGTAGATGAGGATGTAGAAGAAGCAGTAAATTCTGGAGAGCATCCTGAAAAAACAACAACAATGGCAGATGAAACAAATATAATTCATGAGGCAGAAAAAGATCACAATATTACTTTAAAAGAAAAGCCAACAGACAGTGACATAGAAATGAGTGTTCTTGCTCAGGAGGCACCAGAAACTGACCAGGAAGTCTTAGAAGAGGAGGCATCAGTCAGCACAGAGAGAAGTCTCAGGCGTAGAACAATAAAAATTCAGTCTCCACCTAGAAGAAAATCGAGACGTATACAAAAACAAGGGGCTGACGTTTCTGAAGATAAAACTGAAATAGTCCTAATAACAGAAAAGGAAGCTGATGAGGTGGACCAAGGTGTAGAAATAGTTGATAAAGAGAAAGCGTCTCAAACATCAATTGTAGATGCTACTGAGAAGGTGATCCCACTCGTAGAAGCAGAACCTGAAGATAATGTCGTAGAACAAGGAGTTGAAGAAATCAACAAGTTGGAGAACAAGGAAGCAAATTTAGTTGTGACAAGAGACACAGGTGAGGAGACATCTGAGGTGGGAGAAGAAGCCACTTTAGAGCAACAGCAAAATGAGCCATTGGTTAAAAATGATAAAGAAACAACTGAGACAGAAACATCCATGGAGTTTGCCCCAATTGTTGGCAAAGAGCAAACATACATTGTAGGGGGGACCACCATCCAAATAGAGAAGGAGGTCTCACGGGTCTCACTTGTAGAAGCAGAACCTGATGAGGAGGTAGAAAAAGATAATGGTACTCCAGTAATACAACTGCAGAAAGCCACAGTAGTACTTGTAGATTTAAACAAACTTTCCCAAAATACAGAAGGAGAGAGTGACACTCCAGAAGTCCTGACACATTCCCAGACAGAGGAAAAACTGGAACAGGATAAACCACATAATAGTGAATATCAACTATGTAATCTGACATCAGAAGAGGAAGAACAGCTAGAACAACTACAAAAAGAGGAAGATACTGAAAAGACCCCTGAGAAAGACAAAATGGAGGATGATAACACAGTTGAAGAACAGAATGAACCCAATAAACAAGACATGACATTTGAGGAGCAAAAACCAACAGAAGATTTGGAAGAACAAAATGACTTAAAAGTGACAGAGATCATAGAAGTTTATAGGGCTGTAGATGAGGATGTAGAAGAAGCAGTAAATTCTGGAGAGCATCCTGAAAAAACAACAACAATGGCAGATGAAACAAATATAATTCATGAGGCAGAAAAAGATCACAATATTACTTTAAAAGAAAAGCCAACAGACAGTGACATAGAAATGAGTGTTCTTGCTCAGGAGGCACCAGAAACTGACCAGGAAGTCTTAGAAGAGGAGGCATCAGTCAGCACAGAGAGAAGTCTCAGGCGTAGAACAATAAAAATTCAGTCTCCACCTAGAAGAAAATCGAGACGTATACAAAAACAAGGGGCTGACGTTTCTGAAGATAAAACTGAAATAGTCCTAATAACAGAAAAGGAAGCTGATGAGGTGGACCAAGGTGTAGAAATAGTTGATAAAGAGAAAGCGCCTCAAACATCAATTGTAGATGCTACTGAGAAGGTGATCCCACTCGTAGAAGCAGAACCTGAAGATAATGTCGTAGAACAAGGAGTTGAAGAAATCAACAAGTTGGAGAACAAGGAAGCAAATTTAGCTGTGACAAGAGACACAGGTGAGGAGACATCTGAGGTGGGAGAAGAAGCCACTTTAGAGCAACAGCAAAATGAGCCATTGGTTAAAAATGATAAAGAAACAGCTGAGACAGAAAAATCCATGGAGTTTGCCCCAGTGGTTGGCAAAGAGCAAACATACATTGTAGGGGGGACCACCATCCAAATAGAGAAGGAGGTCTCACGGGTCTCACTTGTAGAAGCAGAACCTGATGAGGAGGTAGAAAAAGATAATGGTACTCCAGTAATACAACTGCAGAAAGCCACAGTAGTACTTGTAGATTTAAACAAACTTTCCCAAAATACAGAAGGAGAGAGTGACACTCCAGAAGTCCTGACACATTCCCAGACAGAGGAAAAACTGGAACAGGATAAACCACATAATAGTGAATATCAACTATGTAATCTGACATCAGAAGAGGAAGAACAGCTAGAACAACTACAAAAAGAGGAAGATACTGAAAAGACCCCTGAGAAAGACAAAATGGAGGATGATAACACAGTTGAAGAACAGAATGAACCCAATAAACAAGACATGACATTTGAGGAGCAAAAACCAACAGAAGATTTGGAAGAACAGAATGACTTAAAAGTGACAGAGATCGTAGAAGTTTATAGGGCTGTAGATGAGGATGTAGAAGAAGCAGTAAATTCTGGAGAGCATCCTGAAACAACAACAACAATGGCAGATGAAACAAATATAATTCAGGAGGCAGAAAAAGATCACAATATTACTTTAAAAGAAAAGCCAACAGACAGTGACATAGAAATGAGTGTTCTTGCTCAGGAGGATCCTGAAAAAACAACAACAATGGCAGATGAAACAAATATAATTCATGAGGCAGAAAAAGATCACAATATTACTTTAAAAGAAAAGCCAACAGACAGTGACATAGAAATGAGTGTTCTTGCTCAGGAGGCACCAGAAACTGACCAGGAAGTCTTAGAAGAGGAGGCATCAGTCAGCACAGAGAGAAGTCTCAGGCGTAGAACAATAAAAATTCAGTCTCCACCTAGAAGAAAATCGAGACGTATACAAAAACAAGGGGCTGACGTTTCTGAAGATAAAACTGAAATAGTCCTAATAACAGAAAAGGAAGCTGATGAGGTGGACCAAGGTGTAGAAATAGTTGATAAAGAGAAAGCGTCTCAAACATCAATTGTAGATGCTACTGAGAAGGTGATCCCACTCGTAGAAGCAGAACCTGAAGATAATGTTGTAGAACAAGGAGTCGAAGAAATCAACAAGTTGGAGAACAAGGAAGCAAATTTAGTTGTGACAAGAGACACAGGTGAGGAGACATCTGAGGTGGGAGAAGAAGCCACTTTAGAGCAACAGCAAAATGAGCCATTGGTTAAAAATGATAAAGAAACAACTGAGACAGAAACATCCATGGAGTTTGCCCCAATTGTTGGCAAAGAGCAAACATACATTGTAGGGGGGACCACCATCCAAATAGAGAAGGAGGTCTCACGGGTCTCACTTGTAGAAGCAGAACCTGATGAGGAGGTAAAAAAAAATGATGGTACTCCAGTAATACAACTGCAGAAAGCCACAGTAGTACTTGTAGATTTAAACAAACTTTCCCAAAATACAGAAGGAGAGAGTGACACTCCAGAAGTCCTGACACATTCCCAGACAGAGGAAAAACTGGAACAGGATAAACCACATAATAGTGAATATCAACTATGTAATCTGACATCAGAAGAGGAAGAACAGCTAGAACAACTACAAAAAGAGGAAGATACCGAAAAGACCCCTGAGAAAGACAACATGGAGGATGATAACACAGTTGAAGAGCAGAATGAACCCAATAAACAAGACATGACATTTGAGGAGCAAAAACCAACAGAAGATTTGGAAGAACAAAATGACTTAAAAGTGACAGAGATCATAGAAGTTTATAGGGCTGTAGATGAGGATGTAGAAGAAGCAGTAAATTCTGGAGAGCATCCTGAAAAAACAACAACAATGGCAGATGAAACAAATATAATTCAGGAGGCAGAAAAAGATCACAATATTACTTTTAAAGAAAAGCCAACAGACAGTGACATAGAAATTAGTGTTCTTGCTCAGGAGGCACCAGAAACTGACCAGGAAGTCTGAGAAGAGGAGGCATCAGTCAGCACAGAGAGAAGTCTCAGGCGTAGAACAATAAAAATTCAGTCTCCACCAAGAAGAAAATCGAGACGTATACAAAAACAAGGGGCTGAAGCTTTTGAAGATAAAACTAGAAACATCCCAATAAGAGGAAAGGTAGTTGATGAAATGCAGGAAACACTTAAGAAATCAACTGTAGAGGCTACTGAGGTCATCCCATTTGTACAAGCAGAACCTGAAGATAATATAGCAGAAAAAGGAGTTGAAGAAATCAACAAGATGGAGGACAAGGAAACAAATTTAGCTGTGACAAGAGACACAGATGAGGAGACATCTGATGTGGGAGAAGAAGCCAATTTAGAGCAACAACAAAATGAGCCATTGGTTAAAAATGACAAAGAAACAATGGAGACAGAAAAATCCATGGAGATTGACCCAGTGGTTGGCAAAGAGCAAACATTCATTGTAGGGGGGACCACCATCCAAATAGAGAAGGAGGTCTCAGGGGTCTCACTTGTAGAAGCAGAACTTGATGAGGAGGTAGAAAAAGATGATGGTACTCCAGTAATACAACTGCAGATTGACCCTGTGGTTAGCAAGGAGCAAACATACGTTGTAGGGGGGACCACCATTCAAATAGAGGAGAAATTCTCACAGGGGGAAAGCACAGAAACCGATCAAAGTGACAATGAAAGGATCACAAGGAGAAGTCTCAGGATCAGTGCGAAATCAGTCACAGCTACACAGAAGACAAGAACATCTACACGTCTCCACAAAGTAGAGTTGGACCCATTGAAAGAGACAAATATGAGTAGAAATGAACATGAAGAAACCTCAGCAACAACGGAAGAGACTGTGAATGTGTGTGTGCCAATAATTACAGTAGAGAGCAACTTGGAAAGTCTTGATGAAATAGCAAATACAAATGTTGAAGAAACTACAGCTGTTGAACCTGAGACTTCTGAACTGCTGATGGGTGAAGAAATAAATGATAAAGAGGAGCCCTCTCAGATTGTAGAAGAGGTCCCACCTAAAGAAGCAGAACCTGATGAGGAGGTAGAGAAAGATGATGGTACTCCAGTAATACTGCAAACAGACACACTATTACTTGTAGATTTAAACAAACTTTCTCAAAATACAGAACAACAGACTGACACTCCAGAAGTCCTGACACCTTTTCACACAGAGGAACAACTGGAACTGTATGAACCACATAAAAGTGAATATCAACTATGTAACCTGATATCAGAAGAGGACAAACAAGACATGACAGTTGAGGGGCAAAAACCAACAGACGATTTGTTAGGACAGAATGATGTAAAGGAGAGAGAGAATGTAGAGGAATATAAGATGGTCATAGATGAAGATGTGGAAGAAAGTGTAACATCTGGAGAACATCCAAAAACAACAACAATCGAAGACAAAACAAATATAATTCAGGAGACAGAAAATAATCAAGATATTTATTTAAAAGAGAAACAAATGGATAGTGGTCTAGAGATGAGAAGTCTTGCTCAGGAGGCACCAGAAACTGTTCAGGAAGTCTTAGAAGAGGAGGCATCAGGCGTCTCAGAGAGAAGTCTCAGGCGTAGAACAGTAAAAATTCAGTCTCCACCAATAAAGAAATCTAGACAAGCACAAAGACAAGAGGCTGAAGTTTTTGAAGATAAAACTGTAACAGTCCAACTAACAGGAAAAGGAGATGAAGAAGTGCATAAAGAAGGAACAGAAATAGATCAAGAGGAAACACTTCAAAAAACAACTGTAGAAGCTACTAAGAACATTGTCTCACTTATAGAAGGAGAACTTGATGAGAATGTAATAGAAAAAGAATTTGAAGAAATTAACAACATGGAGAACAAGGAAACAAATTTAGGGAATGAGGCAACCCGTGAGATGGAAAGAGACAAAGTCAATTTAGAGCAACAGGAAAATGAGCTATCTGTTGAAAATGAGAAAGAAACAGCTGAAACAGAAAAACCCATGGGGATGGATGAAGTTTCGGTGGTTAACAAGGAGCAAACATACGTTTTAGAGGAGACACCCATTCAAGCAGAGGAAGAGATCTTACAGGTGGAAAGCTCTGAAACCAATGAAAATAAAAGTGAACGGACCACAAGGAGAAGTCTAAGGATCAGTTCACAATCCGTCACATCTACACAGAAGACCAGAAAATCTGTACGTCTCAACAAAGCAGAGTTGGAACCAGTAAAAGAAGCAAAGATGAGTAGAAACGAAGAAACTTCTTCAATGACAGCAAAGACGGTAAATGTCTGTGTACCGGTTACCATTGAGACCAATGTGGAAAATCTTGATGAAGATAGAGATGTGAGTAAAAGGGAGGAAACTACTTCAGATGAGCAAGACATAGACATATCAAATGATAAGGGAAGGGTGGATGAAGCTTTGCCTGAAATATCTACAGATGTTGAAGAAGAGGAGACTATGACCTTAATTAAAATAACTGAAAATGAAATTCTGCTGGAAATAGATAAAATGCAAAAAGATGTAGAGGGGGGAGTTCAGGAAGAAGAAAAAGCAGAGCCTTCACAGGAAAACACAGAGCAGGAACAAGAAGAAGCAGTGTCACTGGGTGAAAATGTGGGGGAAACCGATCTGACAAATGAATTTAAGACAACAGCTGTGGAGAAGGTTGCTTTAGAAAACTCAGAGCAAGAAGCAGCTTTCATTACAAGAAGTCTCCGATACCGAACAGTAACAGTCCAATCTACACCAAGAAGTAAATCAAAACACCTCCACAGACAAGAGCTGGAGTCAGAAAGAGAAACTGATCATTTAAATGTCCCTACAGGGAAGGAGAATGAGGCATTAATTGCTGAATTAGAAAATTTGGAGACAAAAGAGGGAGAGGGCGTAATTGAGACAAATACAGATGGAAAGTCAGAAAACTCAGAGACAAAAGATGATACTAAGGAGAAAGGAAACGAAATTCTGTTTGAAATCATGGAAAGTAACAGTGGCAGCCAGGTAAACACTGAACAGAACAAAGCTCAAGATGAAAATCTTGAGAGAGAAGATATGCCGATGCTTAATGAACAGGAGGAGGAAGAGGTTTCCAGTGTACAGAAGGAAGCAAAACCACTCCAAGAAAGAGAAAATGAGAGAGCCGCAGAAGGTGTGCAAGGAAGATCTGCTGATTTGGAGGAAAAAGCAGTGGAAATGAGATCCCTGAGAAAAAGAATGACTGTAGAAACAGCTGCTCCAAGGAAATCTAAACGTCTTCGTAAACAAGAGCATGATGACGATAGTGAGCAAGTCAAGGAGGCAGTTATGGGACAAACTGACTCAGTAGAAGTGACATTTACAGAAGACAGTGTAGAGCTGAGGTCAGATGCAACTGCAGCAGTTTTTGAGGGAAGTAATTTGGGTGAAGAAACACTACAAAAAATACAGAAAAATGCACAAGGGACTAAATCAGATGGAGAATGCAATGTACATAAAGACACAGAGCCAGGTGCAGGTGAATCTCAAGAGGAGCAAAAACAGAGCAGATTAAATAAAACCCAGACTGATGAGGATAAAGAAGAGGTTATGACAGATGAAATAATAGAGGAAGTGATAGAGCAACATGTAGATCTTGAGTCCAGTACAAATGAGGGCATCACTTTAGCATTGGAGGTAGAGGAAACTTCTGATCAAGAAGAAAACAAAGCAGATGAGCAGAGCAGAGTGGTGATGGAGGCTCCAAAAGAGATATCCCCATCTGCAGAAAAATATGAGAAAGGTGAAGAAAATATCTCTGATGACGATGAGAAAAGTCTTGCCATCGGAAAGCATGTTGTTCAGAGTAGCTCATCTACTGCTTCAACCAGACGAAAATCAATGAGGCTACAAATGCATGAATCCAAAAAGAAGGAAGATGAATCAGATTCTGAATCAGAAGTAGAACAAACAGCGAAACAGAGACATCAGAGGAAAAGAAAAGCCATTACTGAGTCAACATCAGCACGCAGATCAAAACGCCATGTTAGGGCAAGAATTGTTTAGCAGATTAGTGATTTGTGGCTCTTGTGTTAGTACAAGCCTCCTATGCATTGCTTAAGGGACCAGCCAATTATATACATAATGTGAAATTTTCTATTACATTTTCATATGCAAAATAATGCAAACTATTTTCAACAACTATATTTTGTATTTTTTTTCTGAAATATTTGGGATTTTATAAAACGGGTGTTTCTTGAAATTAGGATTGACTGAAATATGCATGCTCAGTGTAACATTTAGTTGATAAATGTCTAACTATATCTTTAGTTTAGACACTTTTTTCATTTTTCTTCTATACTATGCATTGCAAATACATAATAGAGGTAGTTTTTAATGTATAGCACTATTTTTATAATCAATTAAATGAAACATGCAAGTCCACTCCACTGCACTCAGTTTGGTTCTGGATTGGATGCTAAATTGATCTAATTTGTTCCTCATTTTCAGAGTACACAGGTGCTCACACAGCATAGGTGTTTGTGTGAAACATTTTTCCAATGTGCATTACACTCTTAAAAATAAAGGTGCTTCACGATGCCATAGAAGAACAATTTTTGGTTCCACAAAGAACCATTCAGTCAAAGGTTCTTTAAAGAACCTTTGACTGAATGGTTCTTTGTGGAACCAAAAATTGTTCTTCTATGGCATCGCTGTGAAGAACCTTTTAAGCACCTTTATTTTTAAGAGTGTAAGTGCTTCTGTTACATACCATGTACCTTTCAAATGTGAATTTGTGACACGTTTTGTGATTTAATTTTCCCAAATGATAGAGTATCTGCCACAACTGCCCTTGTTTTTATTGCCAAGACAGTTCTTTCTTTGAATTGTATTAAGTCTCCTTTGAATCTCACAGCAATGTATTTTGTAACTGCAACCTTTTTAGCATTATTGTAATATCTTTTAAGTAGCAAATGTTTGTGAATGTATAATGATATGGGTTTGTTGTTTATTTTACACTCCATTCTGTTAGCAGAGCAGTTCAGGTAGCTTCACATTTCATCAATGTTGAAATGCAAAAAGAATTACTTTCTTTCTTTGACCTCTGTGATTGTCCTGTTAAAATATTTCCCTGAACGGTGATTTGTCAGTTGCTTTTTCTTATATGTTTAAATAAAGTCATGAATTATCAAGGTTATTTGAACTTATTTGTGTCAGTTGTATGTTGGGATAGGCTTCAGCAACCCCATGACCCTACAGCACATAAAACAAGTGATTTGGAAAAAGAATGGATCAATGGATGTGTCAGTTGTTTCATACACTTACAGTATTTGTTTGATTTATTTTCATTTTTTCTCTCACAACCCTCACACATAGCAAAGTAGCTCACATAATAAGTGTATAACTAAAATGCATACATAATAATAAAAGTTACATCAAACAAATGATGCAAGACCATTATTCTAATTCTTCTTCATTTTTCAATTATTTTTTAACATTTTAAATTACTTTGATCACATTAATTTTTAGTGGATGTATAAAGTCAGTTCTCCATTTTTGTACTTAATCTGGACAGTTTATCTCATGTTGCAAAATTATTTCTATAATAGATACCCTATTTAATTATTTTTACGATTTGCCTTTTGTTTGTGTTATTTTTCTTTCAAATAAATGCCACTTGATATTTTTAGTATTTGGTTTACGTGCCCAAATACTTTTTCGTGTCATACAAGGGATTCATCTTCTAAGTGCAGGAATGCAGGACTTTTATTTTGAAATGTGGGCAATACTGCCCGGAAACACTAGAGCACATACTACATACCGTCGGTTTATTTACATTTTTAAATTTAAGTGTTTTTAAGGTGAAGACTAAAGCTGTCGCTTATGCCAGAGACACAGCTGTATACATTTTTAATAAAGTCAAGGTTTAGCGAAGGTCGGTATTCATTACATTTTGCGGAAAGACACAGCACATGTAGTCACGAAAGCAGCAGTGTTGACCAATGATTGCGAAACTCTTGAGAAATTCACAACTAAATCTAACTGAATCAAGGTAAATAAACTAGGCCTACATGTATTTACATAATATGCAAATGCATTTTCCATGCCGGATCCTGTGTGTTTGTATATGCAAATAAATGTATATGTATATAGTAATAACGGTATGTTTTACCATAATGAATGGATGTAGTCAGACAACATGCAGTGTGTGAAACTGCCCATCAGTGTTACAGTGGAGATCAATCTGCTGCTGGTGGCAGTGACCGTTTCAGCGCTCGTGACCAGACTGTATGGCATTCACCTTCCTAAAGCTGTTGTGTAAGTCTTCGTTTAATTGTCTTTTCTTTTTTTTTTTTTTAAGTTATTTTCATTCTTTTAATTTTGTGGATTAAAAGAAATGCACATATGTATATATCATGTTTGCATACTGCTACAGGTTTGATGAAGTTTATTACGGACAGTTCCTGTCTCTGTACATGAAGCAAGTGTTTTTCATTGATGAGAGTGGTCCACCTTTTGGCCACATGATACTAGCTTTAGGAGGTGAGAAGATATTTGATACTTTATAAATTATATTCATGAAGTAAGCCACTTTATGTATATTCACTAATGCATATTATTTATCTTTGCAGCGTATTTAGGAGGATTTGATGGCAACTTTGTTTGGAACAGGATTGGAGCAGGTGATCATCTCATACAGGTTTATGTTGAGCTGACAAAACCAAATAACGCTTCATGTACAGACCTTCCAGTTTTTACTGTCTCTAAGCCAATTCTAACTTCTTCTAGACCTTGTGCGGTCTTCGGTCACTTCTGACCGGAGAATTTTACATTTTGAATTTTAAAAAATCAAAGCTTCACCAGAATGGTACGAAACTTGGTGACTTTTATGGCACTTGGTATGTGAACATAAAAAAAAATTAAAAAATTGAGGGCATGATTCGAAAAAACGCTATTTGGTCGTAAAAAATTAGTCACACTCATGGTCTTCGTTCAGAAATGACCGACCATAGGAAATTAATGGGAAAAAAAAAAATCGAAAATACAGAACATTTTTGTGTGTACAATCTACAAATCCCCCACAATGCACAGCAATGAAGGGGTGAAACTCTAAAACACCTAGAGTGCAAAATCAGCAAGGAAGGGGTTACACTCTAAAACATCAAGAGTGTAAAACAGATACATCCACTCACACACACTCACTTACACACACTCACAGTCACGCACATACAGAATTATACACACTCAAACGAATTGGTATGGCTATAACCATGTAGCCAAAATGAGTCAAAAGACTGAAATAAGAGGTTAAAATCGGATCAGACCCAGAAGGATTAAGCTCTGATAAAGCGTTCCTGTTCATTTTTGTTACATTATTGTTGCAATAATGCAAAAACCTACATTTCAAATCAACATTTAAAACAACAAAAAATATAAACCTTGACAAAAAGTAGTCCTTGAGAATGCCTTAATATACATTTAAATCCACAACCTAATAAAAGTAAACAAGTATGTATAAAAACAACTAGGGAGTTCACAAGCCTCTCTATGGAGTCCTATACAGGAATCTAGTGGTTACATCATGAAATTACAGGTTTTTCTTTTTTTGCTCTCACCAGGAGGTGCATATTCTGCCTTCAAAAATTGGATTTTAAAGGCCTAGTCTCTATTTTAATCTGAAATACTGCATTGATTGAAAAATAATTGTAAAAAAATGTTTGTACTATTTTCAATGGGAAAAATTAATCATAATTGCATAAATATTAATTAGTACCATACAATTCTCTCAAAATACAAAAGAAAAGATATTATTGAACAAAATTATATTAGATTGATTTTACTGAAGAAAAAAAGTTACATTTCAGGTTGACCGCGTGAGTGTGACTCCCAAATGAGGACCGCACAAGCGCTAGAGGAGTTGCAGTATGTTAAACTATTTTAGTGCGACTTGGTAGATAGAGAGTCAGAACACGGACCCCCTGTTAGATATAGTGTTGCATTTTAAGTCTGGTCCAATACCATGCATCTAGTACTATATTAATGTATTTACATACTTTGCTATGATGCTTTCATTTCAAAGCCATTAAAATAATCATTATTGATGCACAAAGTCATATACTTTGAATTTGACTTTTTCTTCAAATATGAGATGAACAGTGAAACATTTGACTACATACTTTGCTATGATGTGAACATTTCAAAGTCAATATAATCATCATTGATGCACATTGCCATATACATTGGATTTTAATTTTACCTTTAATATGAGATGAACAGTGAAACATTTGACTTTAATTTTGCATTTATATTTTCACACTTTTTACACACACACTATTGAGATCGCACAGTAAATGGCGAATCCCTGTTCTAGACCTTGAAGACACCCCATTGTTTAACACCCCACATATTGATAAGATATTCCTCTAGTATTTACTGTATGCTGAAAAACAGGTTGAGGGCCACTAGAGCAAATGAAAACTAGTATGGCACAGTCTTTTAGGCTGTTCTGACTAATGCAGTATTTTCTATAAGTGATCAGAACCAGAAATGACTGATTTGCAATGTCCCAGCAACCACCTAGCAATGTTTACATTGCATCAAGCTACATGACACACTAAGTCTTATATACCTTAAAAACTGTTGTGAATGTTCAGGCAAGGCTTTGTCAAGACAACATTTCAACTTTCCTTTTGTTTTACATAGCACAGGCATTAGTAATTGCATTATTCTTACTGATTTTGGGTCTATTGTAGAATACACCAGTAATGTTCCCGTTTGGAGCCTTCGGGTAATACCGGCCCTTGCTGGCTCTTTTTGTATACCTCTTGCTTATCTTCTGGTGGTGCAGCTTGGATATTCCCATTCCTCAGCACTGGGGGCCTGTGTGCTCCTCCTCATGGGTAAGTGCTTAGCATATAATTTTCAAGTCATTGCCTAATGATGGTTTTTCCTGCCTGTTACTGTAGGTTAAATAGTTTTGTTTCATTTTTACAGAAAACTCCTTGATTGTGCAATCACGCTTTATGCTGCTGGAGTCTGTTCTAATCTTTTTCCTGCTGTTAGCTGTACTGTCTTACCTCTGCTTTTACAAAGCACACAAGTAAGAATAGTTGATATCTGTTTTGTCAGTCTCAGATCTGGATTGTCCTCATTTGTAAGTCGCTTTGGATAAAAAAGTAAATGGATTGTCTTGTCAGCCTTCTGTGACTGTAATGCTATTTGGCCCAATTTCATGGTAATGTGTCATGCGCTTTCTCTTCTTTCAGTTCATCTTTTAGGTGGTTTTGGCTCGTGACCTGTGGGGTCAGTTGTGCATGTGGAATTGGGTATGTACGGTCATAAAAAATGTTTTTTTGAACATGATTTTTTACTTTTGTGAAGCGCCACTCACGTTTTCTTCAGAAAGTGCAAAAATCTAGTTTAACGTGCTCTGCAAATGAAATATAAGTAGTGCCAAATGGTTGGGTGGGGTTTCTTTTTTTGGCTTGTTTTTCAGGGTAAAGTACATGGGTATGTTCACATACTTTTTACTGCTAGGCCTGGCAGCTGTACACACCTGGCATGTTATTGGAGATCGAACCTTAAGCCATGTGAGTTTTAGTTATCAAACATTGTTGG